TGTGGTTCTGTGTGGTTCTGTGTGGTTCTGTGTGGTTCTGTGTGGTTGGAGCAGCAGCTGGCAGACACAGAGAACGGTTTGGGTCTGACAAGAACACGCTGCGTGCCTCAGCCTCCACGGAGGTGAACCCAGAGCCCGTCATTAAATGGTTAGCACCTTCTGAGGAACACGAGCTGAGCCAGACGTCTGGACGCGGGTCGCTCTCCAGATGTTCGGTTCCAGCGCCGCTCCCAAACCTGAACACACCTCCTCAGACAGCACCGACCCAAAAACGAAACCTCACTGAGGCAGAAACGTCTCCTTCAGGGAAAGTATCCACGTTGTTCCAGCGTGCTTGTCTGACTTCAGCTGGATGCTCTTATTGTGAAGTTTAACACAGCTGGATGCTCTTATTGTGAAGTTTAACACATCTGTAGATGTCTTTCTAAATCTTCCTTAAAGTAGAACGTTGTGTTGCAGAACAGTCCATGAGACATAGACCCGGTTCACGTAACAGGACCAGAATCCACATTCGCTGCAACCGTTTCTGTTCCTCACCACCAGGTGAGAGTCGGACTTTACCGCCGGTTCTGAACCCGTCACTGAACGCCGACAAAGCGGCCAGAACCTGGGCTCCAGCCTGCAGTGCTGATAACGGTGGAAAGTGGAAACGATCCACTGATCGTTCACACCTGTATGTGGTTTCTGAGATACTTTTCTTTTAGGCTGAAAAATGCTAAACTGGACCATTGTTAGCTAGCCATTAGCCTAGCTTGGAGAGAGACCTCAGACTCCGAGCTCCATGATGGACATCTCCTCTGACCAGGTCCAACCTATTGGTGCTACCTGACAGAACAGCACTTCATAAATCACTACGCTGAGTAAGAGAAAAGTGCGGTAGGTCGTGGGAGATCACTGAACCTTGGCTTCTCACGGTGACGGCAGTAGGTGGGGCTCCTGGAAGGTGTACCCATGACACCATGTTTGCTTCCAAACTCGGATCCAGTCAGGTTCTGTTAGGTTGTGAAGAGCAGAATGAAGTTTGTCTAAAAGGAAGGAGAACACAAAGCAAAGAGATCCTTCTTCCGAGGTTCAGTAAATGCATCGTGATGGAAAGGTAAAGCTGGGTAGAAATAAAGACGGGGAGGGGTGGAACGGACCACTTCAGACCAAACACCTGGAGCCCTGCTTGACTCTGGCTGGTGGACCAGTGTGGGTTCTGTTGGAGTTTGGACCTGAGCTCTTAACTGATGTTCTGTTCTTGGTGTTAAACTTCCTGTTTAGTTAACGGCTGTTTAAAACCCTGAGGAGGAGCACACCTCGGTGAACGAGACGCAGACTCCTGCAGACTTATTTTCACGAGAGGAAACCGGGTCTGGAGCGCCGAGCGACGGCGTCCTCACTTTCAGACCTTCTGTTTACTCAGAGCCTGAGGTAATGTTTGGGGGGACCAGATGGGTTTATAACAAAAACATCTGCAGACGTCCACGTTTCACTGCGGTCGCAGCTCATGACTCAGCTCCTGCCGGCTCTCCAGCTGGACGTAATGGAAACGTCTGAGTCACCGGGTCTGGACAGGAGCGGAGCGGGCCGGATAACAGCACACCTATGGCAGTCCGTTCAGAAGTGCGACAGCTCTGAACACCGTCAGCAGAACAAACAGGGTGGAGACATGAAGAAGTCGAGCGCTGGAGAGAAACTGAGCCTGATGGATGCACCAGGTGCAGGTCTGGTTTCATGGTTCCCAACACCAGGTCTGGATCTATGAGGACTGGACCAGACTGGACCAGTCTGGACCGTTTCACTGAAAAATCCTTGTACGAAACAAAAACACAATTCCTGAAAACCAAATAAAAAATAAAAACAAACATTTCTGCAGAACTTTTGAAGCGGACCCAAAGCTCCAAACTAACTTTGTACAAAGATGTTCCAGCTGCTGCCGGTGGCTCAGTGTGGTCACCATGGTAACCACTCACTTGTGCCTGTCGCTCCCTGACTGACAAATTTAAAGAGAGAGAAACAAAAACATGAACTGAAAAGTAAGCCTCAGTCAAAAACAAGTTATAACAAGTTAAAACGAGTTAGACGGAGAACATGAGCTAAAATTTCCAATTAGCACAACAGCAGCTAAACACCAAAAGCAGCAGAAAGTAAAATGGCACCCTTGATAAGATCCAGGTAGCCGTTTTACCTGGACGACCGGGTGTCCTCCTGCCAGCGCCTTCACTGCCCCCCGGCTGCCCTCCGTCTCATAGTGGGCCCGGTGGTGGGACTTGGGTTGGACTTCGATCTGCAGGCTGTACGGACCCAAGCTGGACGGCAGCTGCCAGTCCAGAGCCGGCAGAGCCGGGCTGTGGGAAGTGAAAACATGGCCGACGCGTCAGTCTAACATGAACTGAGGGCTTCAGAAGCACCAGGTTCTACCAAACCTTGTAGAAGGTCCTCACCTGATGTGGGGTTTAGGTTTGGACCAGGAGTACGGGGGCTGTGGAACATCCAGGAAGCCCCCACAGAAACCCTCCTTCTTGAGGGTCAGTCGGTTCGCAGAGACCTCATCCTGACAGAGGTCCCTCAGGCTCAGGTCCTCGCCTCTGGGCTCCACCTTCAGGCTCACCGTGGGGCTGTGGTCCAGGCTCGTCTTCCTGGCCTTTATGGGGATCCCGTCTCCCAGGTCCCCGTCTGTGGTCAGGGCGTTGATGGCTGCCAGGATGGCGGAGTTGGTGTACTGGTTGGTGTTGGGCAGCCAGCTCTCCTCCGTCACGCTGAGGCGGGGGGAGGTCTGAGGGGACGGGCCAGGGGAGTGGGTGGGGGAGTACAGGAAGCTCTTGTGCGACCCTTCGCTGCCGTTGAAGCTGTACTTCCTCTTGGCTCCACAGGGGGAGCTGGGCCTGGAGCCGCGGGGCCCCATCCAGGTGTCGTCCGTGACGCTCGCACGAGGGGAGGTGGAGGGGGAGTGACGAGGGGAGCCACCGGAGGCTCCGCCCTCACCTGGCAGGGCGAGGGTGGAACCTTTGGGGGACAGAGAGGGGGACTGCCAGGGGGAGTTCTGGGGCGAGTTGTCGTAGTTGTAGGAGAAGCCGGACTCGTAGGAAGCGTCGGAGAGGCCGCTGCGTGACGACACGCTGCTGGCCGGACTCAGGCAGCTCGGGTCGCGGTAACCATCGGCGCTGGGGAGGGTCAGGGTCATGATGGAGTTGACTCGCTTGGCAACGGGGAGGCTGCTCCCCTCCACCTCCTCCTCGGGGAACTGACTGTAGGCCGTGATTTCTATGCGAGGGCTCTCCAGGGTCGGGGCCCCGTTCGGGCGGACCCCAGAGTAGAAGCCGGTGGTCCTCAGCTCTTCTGGGGAGTCGAAGCCCTGAGGCTCGGCGACCGAGACGGATATGGAGGGACCGGACTGGAGGCTGTGGTACTGAGAGGGGAGGCAGGGGCTCCCCAGGGGGAGGGACAGACTGATGTTTGGCGTGAAGCCATACGCATCTGAAAGGCAAAGAGAGGGAGCTTGTTACCACGACGACAAAAAAAGCTTCACTCCCTGAGGAGACTGAAGCTGAGTCGAGTCTGAGGCAGAAAATTCAGCTTCGGCTGCAACTGGAACAAACATACAGCTGCTTCTAGCTACTACCCATCTTTCTATTTTCAGGTTAAGATTTGGTTGCTTTTTAGTATTATTTAGCTTTTTAACTAAACTTTAGCTATGTTAAGCAGTTAACTATATATTTTTTATTGCTTTAGCTTTTCATTAGCTTATTGCTACTTTTCTTTTGGTGCTTATAGCTTGTAGCTTATAGCTAACCCTTTGCTGCTTTTAGCAAACAGTTCATTATTGCAAGCTTTTAGCTATGCTTTTATTGCTTTAGCTTTTAGTTAACTGTTGCAATTTTTTGCCATTCTTTTGCTGCTTATAGCCTTTAGCCACCCTTTGCTGCTTTTAGCAAGTGTTGTCTTACTTTTAGCTTTTAGCTAGCTTTTTACTAATTTTAGCTTCTAGCTACTGTTCTGCAACTTTCAGATTAGAGATAGCCTTTTGTTACTTAAAACTTTTGGTTAATTTTTGCTAGTTAACTATTTGATGCTTTTTGTTTATTTGCTAGCATGTTGCTAGTTTTAACTTTTAGCTAGTGTTCTGCATCTTTTGGGTTTAACAACTAATTTTAGTTTACTAATTTCAGTAAGTTTTAGCTGTCATTCAGTTCTCTGTTTCAACAGAAAATATAATTTATTTTGTTTGTAAGCCTTTTTTGAGGACCACAACTTTAAATACAGTGAGCGAGTTATCTGTATATATTTTTTAATAAAAAGAGGGCGTGTCTGAACGCAGGCCACATGTTGGGTCGTGTCTGGCCCGCAGGTCACATGTTGGGTCGTGTCTGGCCCGCGG